TACCCCTTGGAACAGCTTGGGAACTGCCAGAAAAATTAAAAAAAACAACAAAAAATTCCCAAACACTTGATTAACCAAACCTCTGGGCTGATACACAGAGCAGTTCAAGCCTAGCAGGAGGCAGTTAATGCAAAGGGAGGTGTGGGAACCAGACTTTGCCTATCGGCTTCTCTGCAGAGACAACCCTGTGTTTAGATGCCATGCCCTGACAAGCAGAGTCTCACACTGGGCACACTCTCTCTGCCACCCACACAATGCTGCTCCACATCCCACAGGCCAAGCCAAAGCAGAGAATGGCACTTCTGAACAGCAGCATCAATAAGTTCCATTCACACCCGTCGCTCCCCGGGGTGACCCTCCAGCCTTTCCACCCACTCTGCACAAAGAGAAGCTGGTGACAAAAGCAAGGATAGCAAAGCCCTGCTCAAGCATTTTCAGGAAAAGCAGTAAATACAATCAATCCCCTGAGTGCTTTCCCTTATTTTAATGCATTCATGGAATCATTAAAGTTGGAAAAGACTTCCAAGATCATTGAGTCCAACCTTTGACCGATCAACACCTTGTCAACTAGACCAGAGCACTGAGTGCCACGTCCAGTCGTTTCTTGGACACTCAACATTCTTACCCTAAAGAGGAGGAGTTCAAGTTACAAGATGGCTTCAGGAAAAGTTAAGAAAAAAAGATAAAAGCTGTAGCACCGAACTGGTGAGGAGCTGGAGGAGCTCCACAGCTTCGGGAAGTGGAGGACAATCATCAGCCAAACACAGGGGCCGCAGGGGGACACCAGGAATGTAGACACACAGGCATGTTTTGTGACAGCCACCAAAACAAAGTACCTTGTAGCACTGCAGACGCTGTCAAACAGCATCCATTAAGCCATTTATGAGACATGAGTAGTAAACTGTTCTTATGTAAGGCACTACGGGGTAAGAGCACTGGTGAAAATCCGTCTGCCTCTTTCCTTTTCTCTCCTCTCTATATATATATCTGCTCACACATAGACAGAGCTCAGCTAAATTAGCTCGGAAGCTAACTGCTCCATTCCCTGAATTGCACTTAGAGCAGGCCACGCTGTGGCGGAGCAGCTATTGTAGAGAACACATGGCTGCTGACTGAATCAAGATACATACCTTAGAGGGACCTCATTGTGCAAGAATAAAGCCAATGATGGGCTGCACCAATTGCCAGAGTAACTCCAGAAGAATTAGAGGGGGAAAAAAAAAATACCACAAAGCATCAGTCGTATCCAAGGTTAAGGAAAGGGCAGGATGCTTTTTCAGGAAAAGGGATGCACAGCAATTCATAATGCACTGGTGGCAGAGTTACATTTGTCATTTCCTGCCACCACTGGGCTTTGCTGAGTAATTTTATAGTAACGTAACTTGGGGGTAGTGGGAGAAGCATCCTTCTTGTCTCCAACGCAAGAGAGAAAAAATAAACTGAGGCGTAGGAAATGGAGAAGCTGAGACACCCCTCTGGAGGAGGGACACGGAGCAAAGGGAGCTGCCCGTGGGTGTTTTGGCAGCAGGTCCCCGCTGCAGCCCAGTAGGGATGCACAAGGAATCAAAGTTTTTTGCCTCTGCTGGGAGAGGGCAAAGCCAGCCCCACCCTGGGCTCCCCAGATGTCAGGAGCCCACCCAGGCACACAGAGCTGGAGCTGCTGTGGAGCATCCCCGGGCACCCACCCGGGAACACGGAGCAGGAGCTGCTGTGGAGCATCCCCGGGCACCCACCCGGGAACACGGAGCTGGAGCTGCTGTGGAGCATCCCCGGGCACCCACCACCCCCTAGTGGGCTCCTGCCTGCCACGAGTGGCTGCTGCTCCTGCTGCTCGTGTTGCTGCTGCTGCTCCTGATGTTGCCAGTCTGCCATGGGCCAAGGGCTGGCTGTGTAGATGTTTCCTAGTGCTGCTTTCTCCTCTGTCTCAGCCACGCAGCGGCTCCTGCAGACCAGGCTGCCCCGCAGGCAGGGATGCTACACTGAAAGCTCTCGCTTTATGCACTGAAATGAATAAAATCTCATACTGTCAGGGAAGAGATAAAGTTGTTTCCTCCCTAGAAGGAGGAATCCTTTAAAGAAAAGGGACATAGAGCACTGCATGTGTACCAGACACCGACTCAGGGCATCTATCTCCTCAGCCTATTTTAACTTGGTTTGCCCATAAAAAGGATCAGCAGAAGATGTGACACATCAGGACATGGTTTACTGGTGGACTTTGCAGTGTTAGTTTTAGAGTTGGACTTGATGATCTGAAAGGTCTCTTCCAACCTAAATAATTCCATGACTCTAAGCTCCACAGTGCTGCAGACAAGGCTCTGGCACCTACCAGCCTTCAGCTACAGATCGCCCACCCTCCTCTAATGCCAAGGAGTGATGAGAGGCACAGGAAACAGTCCAGTGTTGGAAGACTCACTAGGCTGGGACTTGCTGAGCAGTCCAAGGCTACAGACTGGCTACTTAAACTCACTGCCACCATGCAAGGCAATGTTTTATTTCCTGCTTCCTGGCCTGGAAAGATTTTTAAGCCCTGCAGAATGGAGTGGCCTCAATTTACTCTCAACTTATTTCACTTCTGAGTCTGTAGTATCAGCACCATGATTCTGCTCTGCCTGCTTTTTCCTCTTTTTTTTTTCCTTTCAAAAACCCCTCCAGGATGCCAGTCAGGGTGGCTGTGCTGAGCTGTGTGCTTTAGGAGGTCATCCTACCCCATCCTTACCCTCTTGAGGCCAGAAAACTATCTCTGCTTACAGCAAGATCCTGCACTCCAAGGCATTTAGGAGCCCTCAACACATTTGCAGTCTGCAGGATGTCAGCTCTTACGTGTCCTCCTGAGTTCATGCCCAGACAGCCACTAAACACGTCCAGCAACATGCATAAATAGATATAATCATAAGAAATCAGCTAAAGATAAAGATTTTGCCAATGAGAAATCTCTTCCCCCACATCACTCCAAAGCCATTCAACTGCCCTCCCGCTTGTAATGTGATTTTCACCTCCAAGAGCCCATCACAAGGCAGCAGCAGCTCTCACGTTCCCACCCACTGATGAACTTAGAAAAGGATGAAGGGGGGAAGAAACCACCACAGAAAACTGCAGCCTTAATTTCTGCACTGGAAAAAACCAGCCAGCAGAAATGCTTTACAGCCCTCACCCAGAGAAGAGTTAACTGCGAGCGAGACTCAGTTGCCACTCCAGGAGACGGGGAGAAATGCAACAAATTTGAAATATCAGAACATACAGAGCAATTCATGAGCTAGACCTTGGGGAAGGACAAGTGTTTTACCTTCTCTGGAAGCAACGAGCTGATTAATTTCAGGACCATGATGAAGCCATCCCACCATGGGCAAAGCTTTCGTTTATCTTCCAATCTGCCTGATGCCCGTGGGTTCAGGGAAACAGGAGGGGACGTTTTGAGGTCTACTGTGCATGAAGGGGCAGCAAAACCCCCATAGATTTGCACAAGACTTGCTTCATATTCACGAGTACACACGTAACCAATGTGCCAGGCAAGAAAAAGAGCATTTTTTTAGACAAAGATATAGTCCCTTTACTGGCAGGCACTCACAGAAATAGGATTTGCTATACAAGATCATGTCTCTGATCTATCAAGACAAATTTCTCTCCTCCAACTTGAGCTATTATCTAAGCTCACACAGGGGGGTTTCTTTGCCATCTGATATATTTAGATCAGTGCGCAATTCACACCCAGTCCCTGAAGAAACTGTACTCTAATCTGAAAATTAACTCGGTGAACCATGAAACTTCTTGTTACTTTTAGCTGCTGTATGGTAAACGTCATTCCTACTGCATCAAACCCTTTCTCACTTTTATTACTTGAAATACAGTATCGGCTTCGTATGGGATTTTTGCAGTTGACCAACCGTGTCTAAGGAATCCGCAAAGCCAGAGCCTGAAAGCCTCAAGAAGTACCATCAACTTATTTATTATGGGTGTTTGCTACGAGAAAGCTCCACGCAAGGTAAAATGACAGGACTGGGAGACACAGACAGACGTTTCCCTACCCTGGCTCATCGTTCCCAGTGAAAGGCAATCACTTCCACGAGGTATGGGAAGAGACTTGGGGTCGGTGCCCCCCGGTCAGCCTGCACATGGGCACACCTTGACACACCTGAGGCACACAGAGTGATGCGCTGGAAGTCACAACCCGGTGTGTCAAGCAGATATCTCAGCCCCAAGATAAGCAGGTATTCGAATTATCTTAGGTTTGGACACCGAAAAACAGGAAAGCTAATGGATAAAAGCAGAGATCAACAAAACCCCTTGGGTGACCTGGCAGAGTAAACACCGAGCTGCCCAGGTGACATTCTTAACAGTTCCCCTGGAGGATCCCCAGGCTGATTAGGGCACAGAAATAGGTAAAAGTGACAAGAGGCAGCTCGGGCACCACATCCGAGGCAACAGAATCCGGCATCGAGATCAAAGTACGACCACAGAATTATTTCTAGTCCCATCCCCCTCCCCACGAAGCCGAGAGCGGAGGAAAGTCTGCGGCGTTCGCACAGACCCGGAACGCTGGAGTTGTGCGTGAAGCAAGAGCGAGCTTCGAGAATTAAGACGAAGCATTTATAAAATCAGGCTCTGGCTAGAAAAACAGCCCCTCCCGCTGTGCCAGGCTCGGCGGAACCTCCTCGGGGCTCAGAGCTCAACTTGGAGCACACGAGGCAGCCCCCATCACTTCCAGCCTGCGCGGGGATGCTCTCCTCCTCCCGGGGATGCTCTCCTCCTCCCGGGGCTGGCAGCGGCGGCAGCCTCAGGCCCTGCTAAAAAATCCCTCCCCGACAGGAAAGGAGGAAAAAACCACCAAACCCAAAAACCAGGATGCAGCACGGGCAGGGTTAGAAAGCCCCAAAACACATCCAGCCGCCCGCGGAGCGGGGAGGGCGGACACGGAGCCGGCGCGGCGGGTGTCAGATGCTTCGGGGATGATCCGGGATGGAGGGGCGGGATGCGGGACGGGACGGGACGGGGCGGGCGCCTACCGAGGGTGAAGAAGGGCAGCTCGGTGTTGTCCAGATCGTCCTGCACGGCGACGCGGCCGGGCAGCTCGCTGCGGACGAAGAGCAGCAGGCGGGACTCGGCGGCGGCGGCGGGCGGCGGGGCTCCGCTCCAGCTGATGTCGTTCTCCCGGAGCACCGGCAGCGTGGACACCGTCACCGTCTTCACGCGGCAGGGGCCGGGGGGCTCCCGCGACGCCGCCGCGCCGGGCCCGCCGCCGAGAGGCACCGCCGGCGGCGGCAGCAGCAGCAGCAGCATCAGCAGCACCGGCAGCACCGGGGGTGGAGCGGCGGCCCCGCGGCGCGGCGGAGCGGCCATGCCGGCCGGAGCCAGGCGCTGCGAGCCGCCGAGCGCGGAAGGCGAGCGGAGCCGGGCGCTCTGAGCAGCCCCAGCCCCGCCGCCGCCGCCGCCCGGACCCGCCTCCCGCCCCGCCCCGAGCGCCGCTCCCCGCGGACCCTCCGCCCGCCCCGGGCTGGGAACGCCGCTCGCCGGGCGGAGAGATGGGCTCGGCACCGGCCCCGGCCCCGCAGCCGCTCCCCCCGCCCCGGCTGCGCTGTGCTCCCGCTGCCAGACCGCTCCCGCATCGCCGCTGCCGCTCCTGACCCACAAAATCTGGAGAGGGGCTTTGGGCAAGGGCACGGAGTGACAGGACAAGGGGGATGGCTTGGAGCGGACAGAGGGCAGGGTTAGATGGGGTATTAGGGAGAATTTTTTCCCTGCGAGGGCAGTGAGGCTCTGGTTGTTCAGGGAAGCTGTTCAAGGCCAGGTTGGACGAGGCTTGGAGCAACCTGATCTAGTGGAAGGTGTCCCTGCCCATGGCAGGGGGGACTGGGAATGAATGATCTTTAAGGTCCCTTCCAAACCAAACCGTTCTAGGAATCTGTGATTTTGTGAAAATCCCATGTCTCTCCACCTCTTCTCCCATGCAGCTCATTGCCACTCTTCCCTGCAAGCTGTTCCTTCCTTGCAGCCAACTGTTGGGGTGCAACACCACAGCAATGGCTTTCCTGTGAGCTTTTGCTAATTATTACCCTCTCCTAAGTGAATAGGCACCCCCAGCATCCAGGGCACACAAGGATGGCTTGAAATGAGAAGCCTGAAGAAGACAAATTGGTGACCTAGAGTAAAGATTTCAGATTTGGGCTTTAGCAGCTGGCAATGATCCTGAGGTCTGACCACAGGTTCCCATATCCTTCCATCACACGGATGCCTCGGTGCCACACGAGGGCTGGATTTGGTGCTAGAAGACAAACCAGGTGAGCTCCACTACCGTGGTTTGGCTCACACTCTGCCTTGAGCTGCAATGGAGCCAACTGGCTTTTCAATATGGAATGATGGGGATGAGTTGGAGGCAAACACTGTCCCTGGAGGCAAAGTGGACCCAGTTAACCCCAGCCCCAGAGCCCCATGAACTCCTGCCCACAGTCGGGCATGACTAACAGAGATGAGGAGAGGCAGCCTACGGTAGTTATGATTCAGTGACTCACAACAACAATTTCCTAGTGACTGCTAATCTACCTGATTTTATTTGTAGATGTACATATAAAAGAAGATGTCAAAACCCTAACAAAGCACGCTTAATGCTCAGGCTTATATTATTTCCACAAGCTAATTAAGAGCAATTCATCACATGCCTATTGAGGCAAAACAGCCTTCTGAGATACCTAGGTCATCAAATGTTAAAACCACAACAAGGGCAGAATGGCAATGAATGTGAAATCCAGCAAACAAACAGCTCAAGCCCCATTCCCAGGGGCCAGTCCCTGCTCCAGGAGCAGCCTCAGCTCCAGCTCCCAGCCTTAACAAGCTGCAGCCCCCACCGTAGGAGTGTTGGTGTGAGCACAGTGCCTCTTTCCAGCTACAGGAATAGAGAGAAAGCAAAAAGCGCTCACCAGCAAACAGGAAACTAGTTGCAGAACGTCAAAGGTGGGACCCCAGATCTGCCTAACTGGGAGGGTTGAAGTTTCTAGGCATGCTGGAAAAAAATAATCAAGCAAAAAAATGCAGTCCTAAGTGTCAGCTGTTTGTTGGGGAAACTACAACAGTAGGAAAAAAGAGTTTTCCCTCTTTTTTTTTTCTTTTTTCCTAGTTTTAAAAATTTTTTTAGTCAATGAGTGCAAAGAACCAATACAGCATCGACACACAAAGTGACACACTAGTAGCCAGTATATCTAAAAAAGAAGTGCCTTTCTAGTATTTTTTTTTGGAACTGGAAATCCTGAAAAACATCTGTTTCTGTTTGAGGCCCCATCCCTGTTACTTCCATCTCCCTGTAGCCACTTGCTGCACAACTGTGCCCGTGTCCCACAAGTAGAGAATTTTTTTGCTGTCAGCTACCAGAGGATTTTGAGAGGGAGTTGTCCTTGGGCTGGGAAAGGGATCCAGAGATACCTACTGCTGTCACACCTCTGGATGGTGGTTTCTACTTTAGTTTTGCTGTGCATCCAGCTGAATTGCAGGGAAGGACATGTTTTGGTGCATCCAGATTTTCCCTGACCATTGAGCAACAAGGTAAATGTTTTTCAGGGTTTAGAGTTGGAAAGCAAGAATCAGGAGACACAGGTTGAAACACCTGCTTTGCTACGGACTGACTGACTCCAAACAAGTCCTGAGATGTTAGAAAACAGAGCTGGGAGGAACGTTGAGGGTCTCAAAGATCTGAGCAGCTCTGCACACATCAAGTCCTATTTTGGTTGGCTGTCTGGATTCATAAAGTTCTTCTAACAACTATGTGCTGAGGAGCACACTGAGAGTTTTGCAAGTCTTCCCATACAAACATGGGCATGGTGATCAATGGGAAGGTTCTTCTCATTTTGGGAAAAAAAGGATTCCACCTGCTTTTTAGTTCCAAAGAACCAAGCTAAACACAAAATTTCACTGTTTGAAAACCACCAATAATATTTGCAAAGGGGGGATATTACAGTCCTTGTTTACAACTGAGGTAACAGGTTTCTGTTGCCCCCTGCTTTTAAGAAAAATAAGGGTTTAAGCACATGGCTCTGAGAGTTTCAGTTACTGGCAAAATATTCCAGGAACACTTACAGAAGTTTGCTTAACTTGCTAATTTGGGGATACTTTAAGTCTGTACAAACTGTGGATTTTCAAGCCAATTGCATAGCCCATAACCCAGATTGCTCTGCCTAAATGAGGCCCGTTTTTAATATCTTTTTCTTATGCTTCACGGATCCAGCCTTTCCCCGGGGACGTCGGCGACTGCCTGGCCGTCGATTTCAACAGCACCGGGGCCGAGAAACTCAGCGAAAACTGCCGTTCCCAGCAAAAAAACCTTCCTGGGATGAAAATGGAAATCGTCTTACAAGTGCAAACGCATTACACTGACAAGACCCATCTGGGTAGGGTGCAATGGGGGGATCTGACGGCTTGTCAGGAGGCTCCAGCTCGTTCTCACCTCGGTTGCTGACTGCGCAGCTCGGGGGCAAACCCCTTCTTTTTTTTTTTTTTCTTCCATTCTGGGGGTTTGTATCCTCTCTTACATACATAAAGGCAAGAAAATAATTAGCTGTTTCCATAATGGATAAAAAGAGATACTGAGGGCTGTGGAAGTTATGTCTATAACAGTCCCAAGCACGGGGGTTTCGGCACAGAAAGCAGAGACTGTCAAGCAGTGGTAGTGGGCTGTTCTCAGGTGGAGCAGCTTCGAGGAGAAGACAGAGCATATGTTGTGTGTCATGTGAACCAGGAACCTTGGCTATGCCTACCTTATGCCTGCCCACGTTTGTGCCTAATTTCACCTGAGTGGATTTTTTTTTTAGCAGGAGTTTTTGAGACACTCAATGTATTTTTTATTCCCAAGCAGAGCAGCTCAGCCCCAAGGCCATTTGCTTCTGTATGGTGATACCCCAAGTGGGATTCAGGCAAACCCAGGACTTTATGCCTCTGTGGAAAGCTTTGTGAAGATGTTCTGCTGGAAAGTGCTTAAAATATCTGTATTACCTAAGTTTAAAATGGATGTTGAAGGGGGAAAAAAAAGTCATTCTCATTTAAAGGGTCACAGATGAAGCATTCTTCGACTTTCAATCCCATGAGCTGGATTTCTGGACACCCAGAACTAATGCATCTTTTACTGGCTGGCAGAGATGAGGAGTTTATTGCAAAGATACCAATAGCAGCTTTCTGAAGTGGTTTTCAATTGCCCCTATTACTAAAGACGTGTACATACAGCAGGGATCATTAAAATGCACTATGTATTTACAATACAGAGAGCAATTTATGTCTGTAATGCACGTCACAAATCCTACTGCCAGCAATCAGAGGAGAAAGTCAGTCATAGAGCCCTGATGTAATCAGGGGTTTATATTTCACCCTGCAAGAGTCACATCAGCATCAATAACTCCACCGAAGGAGCGAAAAGGATTTTTTTATACTGTGAAGTAAATGCCAGAAAATTAATTTTGTTTCCAAGCTGCAACGTACAAATGCTGGTCCACAGACACACGGTATCTGCCCCTGGTTGGCAACCACATGGCTCAAGCTGTGCTTTTGTCAGCTCTCACAAGGAATGCAGGAGACAGGCTGGGTCAGCAATTCTGAGAAACACCTCCTGGGGGAGGAGGGGATTCGCAAAGTGCCCTTTGCAATTCGGGAGGTGAGGTTTCTTGCTTCTGGGTTAACAGCGAGCCAGCAGACCCCTCGCTGTGCTCAGAGCTGCAGGAGATGATGTCTTCCTGACACGGCATCAAACTCCGAGCTTCCTGACCACTTCCAGAGAAGTGGCCTGAGGGGACACTTCTGCAGCTTTGGCTTCCCTGCTTCTGCAGCCAGGAGAGGCTGAATTTTCTCCTCCCTTCTCAGATACAAGTAGTCGGTTCCTACCTTTTATTTTACTGGAGAGCTGTGAAACAGCCCCTGGATTCAGTTCTGAAGGGCCTGGAGTGGTAAGAGGGAGCTGTATCATTTCTATAGCAAGGAGAGGCTGTTAAGCACTTTGGGTTGAGGTACAGACTAAACAGTTGCATTACAACTAAGGGGAAGGTTGTGGTCGGGTGCCCATGGCATCAGGGCATTTTCTAGTTTTTCTCCTCTGAGGGGTATCATCCTGCTCTACCTGCCT